TGGACTGGCACATCGAGCTCATCAAGTGCACCTTGAAGGATGGTGGCTTTCCTATCTACCTGCCTGTCCCCTGCAACCAGTGTCACATTGCTTGAGCCATCTGTTCTGGAGCCCTAGGGCTCAAGTGTGTGCACTGCTGCCAACTTCATTATACCTGCCCTCTATACATGCATGTTTTCCTCCTCTCTCTCAACCTAATAGCCCTCTTGTTGACACCACCCCAGAATGACTCGGTGCAGTCCTGAGCCTGGGTCCAGGTGCTTTGCATGGGCTCTACTCCTCCTGCGCTCACTCCTCCTCAGTACCCTGCCAAACCCATCGTCGAAATCACCCAAAGGCCTGCTCCTGCTTCAAAATGCACTCACCTCAAGTCTCCATCTCCCAGTCTGACTCCTCTTCCTTCGACTTCTGGTGCATCCTCCTCCCATTTGGCTCCAATCACTACCTTCTTCTCCTTTCCTCCTCCTTGCTCAAGTCACTTGATGAACTATCTGTGGAGTAGGACCTCCAATGGTGTCTACTTCTCAACTTGTCCAATCTTTTATGTCTGTGGCAATGGGACTTCAACCTGTGCCTTGTTCTGTAACTCAACCTGGAAGTCAATCTGTACCTGTGCTTGTGTCTCAACCTCTCCCTATGTCCCAACCTATGTCTTGACTTTGCTCTCATCCTCGACCTCAAGGATGACCTTTCTCTGGTCCATCCTTGGTGGACCACAACTTTTGGGTCATTGACATAGATTCTATCTGGTGACTGCTCTGTCGCCCTTTCCTTTCCTTTGTCCCAGTAGGTTGTAAATAGCAGTAACTCTTCTTCCTTTTCCTTCTTAGGCATTGCAAACTTTGACAAGTTCATCAGCTGCCTGTCATCCCAGATTGCTTTGTACATATCCTCTAAGCTGGTAGTATCAACTTTTGCTCCTGTAAATGTAGGAATGGAAAATGGAATGTCTTTGGGCTCCTCTATGAATACTGTGAGGGGTAATTCCATGAGTGGTGAAGGTATTTCTTGTAGGAGCTTTTCTGCTTCTTCTGTAGAACCAAACAAGGTTTCTGAGTTTGATCCGATAACCAGTGCTGGTGTTTGATATTCCATGAAACTGGGTGCTTGGGTCTGTTTCAGCTCTTCTGGTTCTGGGGATTCTGGAAGATGGACTTCAGTGGAGAGCTTCCCTAGAGACAACTTAGCTAAATGGGGAGGCATTGCTTTCTTCCTTGATCTGAATGCTTCATTCACTTTCTTGTGTCTTTCTTTGTGGGCAACCCTAGCTGCTGTTCACCTGAGGTTGTACTTTACTTCCTGGTTGATGATTGAAGCCCCTCGCAGTGGGCTCCAAGTGTAAGAAAGTGTTTTCTGATGGCCAAGAACTCTGACTCCAGAAGAGGTAGGTTCCACTCAAGTCAGGTTAACCCTGAAGGGGCTTTGGTCTGGATGCAGGTTAAGTACTTTAGACAAACAAAAAGGGAACTTGCCTGAGAAGATATTTCTTGACTCTAAAGAAGAACTTTGACAGAAAGGAGCTGAAGTGGTGATTTTTGCTCTGCCAGAGCAAGACACAGAGAAGACAGTGATGCCTCATACAGTATTCCTGTCCATGCTGTACTGTAGTCTCTAAGTGATGTGGCATGTACCATGACCACCTGTGCACTTAGTCAGCTCTCCATCTTTTGACACCAAGTTCTTTTGGCCACAACCCCTTAGTCCAAATCCTCTTTGACCCTCACCTACACTCTCCACCCTCAAACCTTCCCTTTGACACAACAGAAGGCACAACTGCTCATAGGGAAAAGGTCCATATTCTTGTTGGGTGAGTCCTGAATCGGCCTTGAGCACTGCAACTCGGGATTCATAAGTCTCATGCTCACATGCCCACATTTGGGGAGATTGGTATGCCAAATGTGTGTTTTTGAGGCACTTTTGCAACTTGGCACTGTCAACCAATCAAGTTGAGTCAGTAACAGCTCCCAAAATGACCAAACATGAAACCTACTTCATGCACTGTCAGGCCTTCTTCCCAATTCAAGGCCATCAACTCAGGTTTCAACTCTTCTACCCTTGTGTGCATCTCTTCCAGGTCCACATCATGCTCATTCAGCTTGATCTGGAGCATCCATTCTACCTCTATCAATTTTCTTCTGAGTTCAGTGTTGGCTTGTAGAAGGGTGCCAAGCTATTCTAGAGGTTCAAGAGACAATGTTGAGGAAGCTGCCTTTCAGCATCACATCAAAGACTATAACTTTGCTCCCAGCACCCTCGTGCTCATCTGCAACTCCCACATACAGTGGCTCAAAAAAATGACCACATGTTTGTATGTTTTACATTAGTTATGACTAAACACAATAACCCCTAACCCTAACCCTAAACCATGAGTGTATGAAATTGGGTAATTACTCTTGGCTTTCTATTGGTCCATGAATCAAGTGATTTGGATAGGAATTAATAGAATAGCAGCCATTTGAAAATGACATGTCATGTGGACAGTTTTTTGACTTACAGTTTTGATTACATAGTTTTGAGTTTAACAAAGTTTAAAATGCTGTGATGTGCTTACTAATGCTTACATGGTATATCACATGGTCTATTTGATGATTTGTCATCATACAAATGAATTGGGACCATCAAGGCTCCCTCTTCTACCCCAACTCATGAAACCATCCTCCTGGTCCATCTGGGCCATTTTCTCACAGTAATCCCCATAAATATTGGTGCCCACTACAGTAATGTCATCAGGGTATATGTCCAACACAATCAAACCCTTAAAAAATCTGCTTTCAGTCATCCTTGTGCTGTTTCCCCCACCCATACCTGATATGTTCTGCACCTAATCAGTACTGAGACAGCTGGAAATGCCATGGAGGTCAATCTGGCACATCAGAAAATAATGAACAAACAAAACACCTTTTAACCAGTACATTTTCACCACAGTACAATTAGTTTCAATGCTGGGGTGAGACAAAACATTCCTGTGCACTTCAGGTGGCATGGGAAGCATGGCTAGACTGTGCTCTCAGCTGACTGTGGATGACTGGGAATGGGTGATTTGGTCATATAAGACCATAGGTAATACCCAGGCCTAGATGGATTGATGGAATCTCCTTCCTAGCAGTTCAGTGGACTATCCCCCCCAGGGCACCTGGACTGTAATGAAGGTTTTCAGCTCACCCTAGCCCTCAACCTAGCACCCTTGAGGTAGAAACCAACCAGATAAGAGGTGATTGTATTGTTGGTCATGTTTTAGAGTGCCAGATCAACCATAACCATCATGGCTTTTTCAGCATTCTCAGTACTGATTAGTTGCAGAACATATCAGGTATGGGTGGGGGAAACAGCACAAGGATGACTGAAAGCAGATTTTTTAAGGGTTTGATTGTGTTGGACATATACCCTGATGACATTACTGTAGTGGGCACCAATATTTATGGGGATTACTGTGAGAAAATGGCCCAGATGGACCAGGAGGATAGTTTCATGAGTTGGGGTAGAAGAGGGAGCCTTGATGGTCCCAATTCATTTGTATGATGACAAATCATCAAATAGACCATGTGATATACCATGTAAGCATTAGTAAGCACATCACAGCATTTTAAACTTTGTTAAACTCAAAACTATGTAATCAAAACTGTAAGTCAAAAAACTGTCCACATGACATGTCATTTTCAAATGGCTGCTATTCTATTAATTCCTATCCAAATCACTTGATTCATGGACCAATAGAAAGCCAAGAGTAATTACCCTATTTCATACACTCATGGTTTAGGGTTAGGGTTAGGGGTTATTGTGTTTAGTCATAACTAATGTAAAACATACAAACATGTGGTCAGTTTTTTGAGCCACTGTAGAGAAAGAACTGAACCAGAAGACAAAGCCACAGTACACTGGTCCCATGGTCATCCTTTGTCAGACCACTGGGGGCTTGTACCTGCTGGCTGAGTTGGATGGCTCCATTTCCAAGCTCCACTTTGCTGCATTCCTCCTGCTTCCATACCACCTGTGGTCACAAACCCACACAACTGTGACTTGCATTACTGGGTTGGATGACAAGAAACTCAACCACCTTCTTGAGGAGGCTGAGGTTGACCCCACTGATGACAAGGTAGAGGCTTTTGCCTCAGACAGCTGACTATCTGCCTTTTCCAGTACCCACAGTCTGTCCATTGTGCCCTCCCTTCATTCCCTCTTCTCCCATGATACCCCTACCTCCTTCCATGGCATCACCCACTGCTCTGCAGCTTCTTCTGCTACCCTCATTCCTTCTCCCATGCTGACTGGGGACAGTCAGCATTCAAAGTCCCCTGCAGGGGTGACCCACATACCACTCACTCCACCTGATATCAAACATAGTCCATTTCCGTCTATCTGTTTTATCCTGGGTTTCATCCAGAGACCTCTGTTCCACCCCAGGCTTTGTCCAGTGATTCTACTGATGGCTAGTCCTCACTCAAAGAAAATGAAAACTGCTAACAAAAAGTCAAAAACTGTCCAGAAAAATGACCAAAATAAGTATATAGCTAAATCAATGTCTCTCCTATGTCTCTTACTAGTCTCGCTGATGCCATCCTCAGCCACCATATACTGTGGATGCTCACAACTACCCTGCACATTTCCTCTTCAAACATGCAGTCAGCATGCACCCCTTGACCTATTTTTCCTTCAATTCTTCTTCTGTCTCCTTGCAGTTGATACCCAAAGACCATCCCAGTTACCCAACAAACAGTCCCTTTGTTCTCTCTTCAAGAATCCATCACATCCTACTGTCAACACCATACCACAAGGACTTGCTGCTGAGAGAAGTCAAAAGCTGCACAAAGAAGACAAGTTAGGCAGTACCCTGCACACTGTATCTTACTGTGGCCACTCTGTTCTGCAGAGAGTGTTCAAGCACTTCAAGTCATTGTGCATCACAACCTTGCACAGAAGGAAAAGCAGCAGTATAATTAGTGCTGTGCATGCTGACATACAGATGGGGAATAACAGTGAATCCAAACTAACTACAGACATTTCTACTCCACCCCAATCTTCTCCAGTGCCTCAGTGAGCTGATCAACATGCACCTGAAGTCACAGGTATGTGGCATGCAACTCTGTGGCCTCCATGTGCAACAGCCTCAGTGATTGTGAGGGGTCAGCCATGACCTTGCCATCAAGCCCTCCTCACACAGGGGCCTTACCTTCACATGCGCATGGCTCTCAACTACCTCCACTTTGTCATCATTGTCATCAGCAGCCCTCTTGGATGGGCTAGCCTTTGCAGCCTTCAAAGACTGTGCTACTTGACATCAGCTGTGAGTCTCCTGGGGTAAAGTCACCACTTACCAACTGATGCACCTGCCTGCACCTTCTTTCCCATGGCCTTGGTCGACTTCTCACAACCCTGCTTCATGTGAGTGCAGCTATCACACATGTGCCCCACTGGACCCATGCATGCAGTATTTTTCACCAAGCAATGTGTGCAGGGTGCCTTATGGAGAATCGAACCAGGTGGTGTAGGGAGCTGTATACTCCCTGAGGCTGGAACAGAAATCTGTCACTAAATTCTACTGGCCTCTGTGACAAACCTCTATCACTCTATGCCTTCAGATGCTTTTGGAGGTCTTCCTGCTTGTAACCTCATGTCTCCTCCAAGCCCTGTCTCCTTTGGAGTTTCTCCTGACCTTCAGCATGTTGCCCAGTCATCAATAAGCTGACCCAGAAATTCTGCATCTGCCCAGAGTCATCCAGAATTCAGTAGCCAAGCCACTGCCCAGCCATGTCACCACTCATCCATGCCAGTTGCCTCTGGAAAAACTCCAGTTGCCCCTGTCACCTCAAATTCCACAAGCTGGACTTCGTGCTAGTATGCTCTGCCCTCATATGCTTCCCCCTCTTGCCAGCTCCACCTCTTACTTGTACATGTACCCTCACTCTGTCAGAAGATACTGCTTACTGTAGTCCCATTGTGAGTCAAAGTGTGGTTCAGTGGTGAAAACCAACCAAAACCAACACAAAAGACAAAAAGAGCAAGTGGTGGTGTGCCTATGTGGTACCTAGATGGTAGAACCTTTTATTTGGGAGGGTTTTTGTGAGCTGCAACACTCAAAGATGAGTGCTGAGGGTTGGGGGTGCTCCTGATGAAGAGGGAGCAAGAATGCAAGAGAATGCAACAGGGTAAACTGCTGTCAGCCTACAGAAGGATGGAGGATGACTTAATTCAATGTCCTGAGCTGCACTGAGCTCAGGGAGGACTTGGAGCAAAGCTGATTGATGATAGATGATTATAAGCGAAGCAGATGATAGTTAGACCCTTAATAAAGTCTCAACTATCAAAGCTGATGAATGATTTACTGAGTGATGATGAAAAATGTGAGCAAGAGGGGCTCTCTGATGTCTTCTTATTCAGCTATCTAAGTACAGTGATTTATATACAGTACAGGGGCATTGCCTATGGAAAACAAGGTGCAAACACTTGGTAAGTGATTGGTAACTGATGAGTAAGGAATGTAAGCAATGGGTAATCATCTTAGAAAGCATTGGCAAGCATTGGTAAGGATAAGTAAGCCAAAAAGCAAAGAATCAGGAAGCAAGGTCAAAAGATTGGTAAGTATTGGCAATAGGTGAGTCAAGGACAGTCAGAATGTCAAAGTATGAGTCAAGTAATGTCAAGAACTGGGAATGCACACTGGAATCACACTAGGGGGAGGCTGTGCATGTCACATCTTGAGGAGATTGCTTCTAGGCCAAGGTGGGATGACAGAGAGGCAGCACTGATCTGATGCTGATATAGTACATCCAAAAGCAGACAGGGTGAGTCAGATGTCAACAGGGGTCAAGCTTTGGGGGTCTGTGGGGTGACAGGAGCATAAGGGATTGCAACTTTCCCCCCCCCCCCCAAACCATTCCTCTTAGTGAAGCAAATAAAAACTGCATGAATGAGGCTCTGTTGGAAAAGAGGATCAAGGGGGAGCATCTTCTGCTGTATCTTGCAATAAGGAGGCAAGATGGGCATCATACTCATCATGGATGTGATCAGGGAGAGTGGAGAACAGTAGATTATACTGTAGCTGTCGCAATTTTGGAAGAATGATTGATGAGACTGGTATGAAGACATTGCAGGGAGCAGGGAGGAAGGATCCATATGCTTCTTGGACTGGAGAGACTGAAACAACCACATAAGACCTTTCCAAGCAAGTAACAGACCTGAGGCGACCAAAGAATGTCCTCCTAGAGGTCATACTGACAAAAAGAACACACTGTCCAAGCTGGATGGGCTGAGAGGGGGCAGACAAGGATGGGATGTACCAGGATGCTTCAGGATGGAAGCTGCTAGGAACTCCTGGTAGATATATGTAGCCATGGTCCCTAGCAAAGGGGACAAGCGAAATGATTGATGTGGAGGCAGCCATATCAGAAGAATTAGTGAAATGAGCATCTTTTGGAGGGAGTGCTGTAGAAATGTGTGAAGTGCACAGATCCTCTCCAATTTTGGAAGGTAGGAGTGTGTGGCTGAGCACTACAAGCAAGTGTAGGAATGGTTTTGGTATCTGCAGCAATAGCAGAGATGTGTCAAAAACTGGAATACCATACACAGGCGCTTAAGAATGTTAACTGGTGCCTAACTCACTCCCTTTCTTTTTCTTTGGCATTGACAACTTGTTCTTGTGTGAGGGATGACTGCCAACATTGCTGGCTGTCCTTCTTCGCATGAGGGCTATGGTCTTCATCTCCATTCATCAGCTGTATCCATGTCCACCTCACCAAACACCTTTGGTGTGTGACAGTGCAGCTCAAACCTTTGCATCAATTTGATTCTTTCCCCCTCATCCTCAATCCCTTCTATTTCTCTAATCATGTCTGCTAACCATGCCCCCCAACTCTCCCAATTTGTTTGTGCTTCCTCTCCAGACCCTGTGGAAGTGGAGAAGGCCATCCTGTGAGAGCAACTTGCAGCTGTGTTGGCTGGCCTCATGGCTGAGGCAAGGTGTTTCCCTGAGGATCAGGAAGGAATAGAGGAGGAGAAGGCAATGTGGCTGCAATGCTGAGAGGAGAAGACAGTGAGGTGGCAGTGTGTCAGCAGTATGCTACTGCAGGGCTGACCCCATTCTTTTTGCAGGTGGTGCTTATGCCATTGGTTGAGCACAAGAAATCACTCAGTGTCACAGTAAGGGTGGATGCAGTGGATGTGCCTATACTGGCCAAAGTGGATGATGTTTACAAGCAATGGACCATGGAGGAGGCTGCAGTGGCAGTGCATGGGGGCAGCAATGAGGATGTGTGAATGGGAGAGGAGGTCATGCAGCAGGCTGGAGAGCAGGGTGCAAGTGTTGCAGTGCCAGCAGTGACAGAGAAGATGTCACACATCGAGGTGGTGTCCTGACCAGTTTGGAAGGTACAGTGAGGGTCAAAAGCATTGCAATGTTTGTGAGGTGTGACTTTCTGCCAATGTAGCTCAGGCTATTCTGCACAGATAATCATGATACCTATACAATTGGAAGGGGGTGACTCTAAGCCTTCCAGAGCACTAAGGGCCAGACCAAACAAAGCAATACATGCCAAGATACACCCCATTCTTTCCAAAAAGTGCATTGCAATGCTTTTGTCCCTCAATTTCCAATGTATAGTATTAGTCCACTCCTAGTACTTGGTATACCCTCCCTTGGCTTTAAATACTGCCTCAACCCTCCTAGGCATGCTTTCAATCAACTCCTGACACACCTCTGGCTTAATTGCCTCCCACTCCTTTTCCACTTTCTCCCAAAGCTCCAACATTCCCCTGGGTGCTGTCTCATACTCTGCTAGCCTTCTCTTGAGGTGACTCCACAGATGTTCAATAGGATTAAGGTCAGGAGACTGGGCTGGCCACTGCATGACCTTGATCCCATGGTCTGCAAACTACTTTGTGGCCTGTTTTGCTGATGTGTTTGGGGTCATTATCCTGCTGGAAGATGATCTCATCAGCAGTTTTACCCCACCACTCCAGGCTATTCTGGAATTCATCCTCCAAAATTTGAGTGTAGAGGTCAGCATCCATCCTCCCCTCAATCTTGGCAGCATATCCAGTGCCATTCCAGCTCATATACCCCCACATCATCAAGTTCCCCCCCCCCCCAACCTTGACTGTACCCTGTACCAACCTCTCACTAAGCCCCTCCCCTGCCTTTTTCCAAGCCCACTTCTTCCAATCTGACCCCAGGTGATTAATCTTAGTCTCATCTGACCATATAACCCACTTCCAATCCTCCAGAGTCTAGTCTTTATGTGCAACAGAGAAGTCCATCCTTGCCTTCTTGTGCTGAGCCTTGAGGAAAGGTCATTTCACCTTCACTACCAACTTGAACCCCATTTTCTTTAGCCTCCTAGCCACAGTCTTAGCTGAGAGTGATGTGTTGAGAGTATCCTGGAGGACTTTCATGACTCCCACAGCAGTTTCTGCCTTTCCAGAGCTGATTAGGCAAACAGCATGGCATAGATGTCAGAAAAATCTAGGTACCATTACATGCCATTGTACATAATTGTAATGGGGTGTTTTCACTTCAGGCATGACAATGGGTTGCCATGGGGGGAGATCTAATTGACAATGGCTTTGTCATCCAGGGGGTCAACAATATAAAGCTTGGGGGTGTTGTAACCATGTCTGGTAATGTTGTGGTTATGGTGCCTGATGGTGATGTCATTGACATGCATGATTAAGCATGTGACACCATTGTCGAGTACACAACAGCATGCCAAGTACATACAATACCACAGACACCATTACCATGCATGGCCATGCTTCGCCACCCATTATAATCTTCATGTTTTCATTTTTATTTTTCAGGTTCCTATTTTTGCTATTATCGAGAACCATGGATTCAAACAACTATGGGATTAACACACTACATGTATGAAATAATGTACTAGCAATGGTGCACAGCAAACACTGAGGTCACAAACAACAGTACTTCTATGCCCAACAATGGTTAGACAGAACTAACTGTGGTTGATTGAGAAAGCCACCTACCTCACTAAGCCTTGAGGGCTATCAGCACACTGCAACAGTTCAGGGAGAGATGAACACCAGGCATGGACAGGCAAGGTGAGGGCATAGAGGGGGCAGGAGGTCATGGGGCATCTAGGTATCAGAGGTGCAATACAGCAGGTGTGGGCAGCAGAGTGATGTTGCACATGAGGAGGTGATGGGGTACATGTGGGGAGGGGGGGGGGATGGCACCATCTGCATAAAGTAAAGTTCAGTGACCCAGGAGTGCAGTGTGCTGGTGGACTGACATGGGAATATAGACAAGGATGTCTATTAATCGATTCTGGTGGGGTCAACGACAGAGAAGAGCAAGCAGATTGGTTGCTGTTGCTGGAGATCTCAGCACCCTCAAGGCATCCTTAGTGACATGGAAATTAACTTGGGAGAACAAGGAATGAATTGGTAGGGTCATTGTCGATGGTGACAATGGTCGTGTCTTAGTGCATGGTGGGGGCGCAGCAGAGGAAGCCGAGGAGGTGGATTCTGGCATAGAGTAAGAGAATGGTAATATAATAATATAATATCATCAGCATAATCACATCCAAAGGTCTACTATGTCGCACTGCAAATTAAATGTTGAGCAGGTCCTTGCCACATTGGACAGTAGTTTGATTGCATGATGAACCCCCAAGTACTATAATGTGGTGCTCGAAGATAAATCCATCCCAAACTGCTGCCCCCAGCTTCAGATGACATCGAATAATTTAGAATCTCATGTTTCGTGAGGGTATTTGGGTCTGCAGTTCACAAAATATTCTGAACAGCACACTCCAGGTCAACATCGCTTGGCACCACAGCTCCAAAGTCCATCTCATGTGTCATATAAGTTGTCAGGGGGTCTTGAGAGCATCTGTTGAGGTAGTATTCTGGCTTCGCTCAAGGACACATATATGACATCGCCATTGACAGAGGAGTATTGCAACCAGATTGCATACCAGCTAGGAGTATGCAAAACTGCGAGGGAGTGGGTGATTGGGTACAAGGCTCGTAAAAGGTTTCATGGTCGTACAGGGATGCAGTACAATCCTTCCTTGCAGAATTGGGTGGGGGGTACCCAAGAGCCAATGCTGTGATTGGATTCTCGGTCCCACAACTCATTTTCCTGCAAGATGTCAGTCCTTTATTGTCAAAGCAAATGGCAGGACAATGCACATAGTCGTTCCATGTTTTGAGGAGAATAGAGTGGGGATCAAACTTGCCTTCATCCTAACACACAATAACAGCGATCAGCGACATAATGCTTTCAAGATTAAGCCACCTACATGAACGATGATCTTCTTTCCAGATTCTCCCAGTATGACATGTGTGGCACCCCATGAGAAATCATCCATATGCCAAAATGAGTAGATTGGAAGCATGAATGAGAAAATCGGGATGGCCAAGATATAGAAATCCATCCATCCAACCATGTCCCACTTGCAATGCAGAACGAACACAAAGGCTTGCAAGCTGTACATGGCAGCAATCATGACAAGGAAGATGAAGGGGATGGTACTGTGCTCATAAACGACCAACACGATCAAGTAGACGATCTGTAATCTTATAAGCATCATCACGCTCCAAGGACAATGAATCAACCTACATATGCGATGGTGATGGGCTGAATCAGTGTTGATATGAGATCCATCATGACAATGAAATGCATGGAGAAGCAACAGAAACCACAAAGCTGATCCAGGAACATGAGTTCACCAAGATTATGAATGGTTGAGTTGATCCAATGATGATGTTGTGAGAGCAGAACCTTCCAATCATCCAGAGCAACTGTCTCGGCATGAGTGTCCCTGATAAATTGCATCTTGTACATCGGGAAGTGTTTGAGCAATAGGGTTGTCAAATAACGATCTTCTCCAAGAAGCAGTAAGTTCTTCATGTGTAGGGTATCGACACGGTTCTGGGAATAATCTTGGGTAATTTGGTTGGAGACATTGTGCATGTCTGGTGTGCACAGACGGAACAAGGTGAAACAACCGGGCAAGCAAGTGAGCGAGCTGAACAGACTCTCAAATGCCTTTGCCATGTGATGGGAGATGAAGTACTCGTACACCTAACAAACCACCCTCAGCCCTTGCACCAAACAAAGACATCGCAGGGACTATATGCACCTGCATCATCGTCACAATCAACTGTTTGGCATTGGCAAGGGATGTTTCACCACACACACCAAGGACTTTCTTGTCATGAATCATTCTATGGCTGGTCAGTTTCCTCGAATCCCCTACCAAGCAGCATGACATGACTTACGCAGAAATGAGGCAGTTAAGTGTGTACAGCTCTGCAGTCATATCTGCATTGATGGCAAATAGATACTCATAAAATGTCAGGTTGATGCCGATGATGTTCTTGATCTGGTGATACATCTCGAGCTCAAGGGGATTCATTGGCATATTGTAATGCACCTAAAAACCCACTGTTGGTGCCCAAAAACTTGCGTAAATGTGAACCAACATACCTTGTTCAAGAAATGCATGACCACCATCTGTGAATCATGCTTACCATGATTTCCAGGACGTGACCTCTCTGTTGGCTTCCTGACCTTGATGACCACAAGGTAAGGCACGACATGTCCAGCACACTCGTACAGACCCAAGTACACTTTGGCCATATTATGCTGTCAGGCACCCTCGCTGATCAATACAAAACTGAGTGGTTCAGGGTCCAAGTTTGGGTCAGCACCCAGAATATCAAGCATGATATGTGGTGTTGGGTGATTGTTGCCAGATCTGACAATGTTCCTGTTGCACACGATGAGGATCAGTTTGTGCTTATCGTCATACTTGAGCACAGCCAATGAATTGATCATACACCAAAGTGATGCCTTGCCTTCAGTGTAACACGGAACTTGGCAAATCACGAGCTTGTCATGGTCCTCAGGTGCATGAACAGCCCCGAAATTGATTGATGCAATGAATTTGAACCCAATGATGGAGACCATGAGAACCGAAAGGATGAGCAAGATATATTGCGAGAACAGACACTGAGGTGAATTTCAATTGTTGACTGCACCGATCAAGAATAGATTGCAAAGACACATCCTCTGGCTTTCGAGTGTTGCAGAATCAAGTCCAAGACCATCCTTGAACTTCTTCATAAAATCCTGCCCAGAGTTGATCTTGAACAGATCAACAATGGTGGAACTCATGAATTGTGTGTCGATGCCTCTGCCTGCTTGAGTACTGGTAGGTGTAATGACAGCAGGCAGATAGCTGAGATACGTGGTTAAATCATAGATCAACCCATCGAGGATCCTGACCAATGATCCACTATTGGCCATATCCTTAATCTCCTGAAGGCATGCACCCTGACATACCCAATGCGATTATTCCACCTGCATGATCATCATGCTCTTGAAATACCAGTTTGGGTGAGAGTTGCTGGTAAAAGCACTGGAAGTCATGGTACTGAGCATTGGGGTCAGTGTTGTTGGCGGAGTCGAAGAGTCACCCAGGGGCTCACAGAACCTGAGACACCATTACATAGTGCACTCACCTATGTCTTTACATCAGGAGGAGACCACACTAAGATACCCTGCACAGGGAAAATCAGCATCTGAAGCCATGCCACCATACTGGAGGACAGACTTGGTCAACACCATGCTAAAGACATGCTGATGTGTCACTGCCATGGCAGTCAAATCAAAGACCCCTCCTTGATTCAACATATAAACGTTATTTGGATTGTTTTGATATGAATACAACGCCAGTTCAGACATGCTGAACACATACTGAGTAGGTCAGAAGACCAACCCCAGCACAGTAATGATGAGAACATACACAGTGACAGTAACAAGCTGAATTAGCATTGATACGAGATCCATTGCAACGAACAGAGGCTGCAGTGCTGATCCGAGGGTGTGAGTCCACTGAGGTTATGAGTGGTCAAGTTGATATGACGATGAGGTTGTGAGCTAAGCAGAACCTTCTAATCATCCGGAGTGACCATCTTGGCATGAGCGTCTCTGATAAATTGTGTCTTGTACATTATGAAGTGTTTGAGCGACAGGGTTGTTGGAAAACAATCTTCTCTGGGGTGCAGCGGGTTCTTTGTTTGTGGGGTAAGTCACATCGCCCCTGCAGCACCTCGCAAAATGTACTGGGCTTTCTTCCCCCTCACACGCCATCAGCTAATGGCAACTGAGTGGCCAGTTGACTGGGTAAGATGGGTGGAGTGGCCCCATTCTGTCAACATTACCTCAGGCTCGCCTTTCATGTCTGATGATGAACAGACCTAAACCATCCTTACTCCTCAAGATCGATGAGCTTGACATATACTGATCACTGCGAAGTCAGGTCCATCTGAACCATTCAAATGTGCTGTTTGGAGACAGTTAATTAGCGTTCTTGAGCCTCACTTAGTCTGCATGTTCAGGATAGATCAGCGGACATGCAATTGAAAGAAACTACGTATCACCACAATAGTCAGTATGTGTGAAACGTTATATGAGCTGTAGTGGAGGTATCACTATTTCTTTTGTCTAGTAACATGGGTAACCCTTGCTGGAACAGCCCCGATGCCTTCCTCTGTCACCTTAGCCTGTCCTTGGGTTGCTTTCTTGCCTTTCTTAGTGGCCTTGGAGGAATGGCCGCTCACTGAGGCTGGCATGACAACAAGGGGGTCAAGAGGATTCAGATGGGTCGAAACAGATAGTTAGGAGCTGCTGAGAGAAAGAGTAGAGAGGGGAAGGGAGAGTTCCGAACTAGTTGCCAACACAATCACTGACTGCGAAGGAGAGATGGTCCCAGCCTCTAGAACAGAAATACTAAGGTTTGTATTTAGCTGAATAGCACCAGAGATGGAAGTGCCATTCCCCCAGGCAGTGCTGGCAGCACCGAGCGAGTTCGTATGTATCTGAGGAGGAGGGAAGTCTTCAGCTTGAATAGTGCTAGTGAGAATGGAAGGGTGTGTAGCTGACTGGCTGGTGACAGGGACAGTGGGAGGGTTCAATTTTACCTCTGCAGTCCTGCCAACACTTCCAAGTTGTGCCAAGATATCATCTTCCCAGCTTCTTGGCACCTCAACAGAATCTTCAGCTTCAGGAGGTGGTTGTTGGGATCCATCACATCGGTTTGCACCAAAGACAGCATTATCAAAGTGCTCAAAGATCCCCAAAGCCCACTTCTTGTTCTCCTGTTTTTGGAGCAGCTCTATATAGAATTTGAAGTCCTTCTCGTATGAAATTCTGGTTTGACTACCAGTAGATGAGAATTCATCATCCCCAGAGAGCAGGAAGCGGGCCTAGCAATGTATGATGAGTGGGCAGCTGTCAGCACAGGTAGGATGTAATTTGACTCATGAATGTACAACAAATTGCGATGATGCCCTCTGGTGTTGTTGTTGCCTTCAATTTCTGACCCCTGCCAGGTGGACCACCTTTTTTCTTGCCTGTCAGGACACCTTTTCCGAAGTGCAACACACATGCAATCTAATATAACAAGATGATCAGCTGTGAGCATGTCCAATACATTCAGCCAGGAAGTGGTTTACTTGAGTGAGTGCCTTGTTTTTGAAGAGGCCAGAGACATTCATTGCTGACAGGTCTTCAAAAAGGATCAGTGCGAGTGGTGTATACGCCTCATCATGGTTTGCTGGGTTTCGCTTGAGGAGTGACAAAAAGGCAGGATTGTCCATTCTCTTTCTCCAGTTGCTGAGTGCCACTGGATCCAGTCCTGGACTCAAATGAGTGAAGAGTTGTGTGACGGAGTCCTTGACAGGTTTAAGAATGTTGCCATGTTCACCATTCACCGTAGATGTGAACTGTGAGAAGCAATAGTTAGCAATCGTTTGCTGGATTAGGTATTCTTCACTTACAAGTTGCTCGAAGTGTTCATACTTCATAGTCTGAGCCCGAAGCTCAGGGGGAACCATAAGGTAAAGTTCAGCACCATTAGCAATGGCCTTGGACTCAGGAGTTTGATAATGTATCAGATCGTGTAAATCAAAGTTGGGAGGGCACGCACGAAGAGGGAAGATGCTGCTAGGGACCCATAAGTGATAAAAGTAAGCATACTTCTTTGCTAGGGTGATGATGGTGGCATCCAGCGGGCCTTGAGCGATCGACTTGAGGGCCCGGGATCGTGCTCTGGGTGCTACCTTAGCCTTAAATTCATTTAGCTCATTCCTTGTCTTTATTAGTTCCTCTCGTAGGCGATTAAAGGAGACCTGCGCTTGGCCCAGTGCCTAGTAGTGGTAGTCAGTAATATTCAGTTTCATAGGCAGGTCAGAACACATACCTGGCGCAACTCAGCAGGGCTTGCATCCAGTGCAGGGGTAGCCATAACCCTTCGCACCTCATCGAGTTCCCTGTCCAAGTTAGCACCTGCACCTCTGGCTGCCCCATGGTTTGCTGCATGCAGGACATCCTCATCATTATTGGTATTCTCGTCAAGGCTATCATGGCCCACAGCATCGATATCTAGAGTAAAATCCTTGGACATCACTGGAAACTGGTAAAACAAACCTAGTTGAGGTTGCAGCTGATGTTCCATGACTGGTGTGTAACAAATTGGGGGTGAGGTCCTCGTACTAAATGTTGGCGCTGAGCAGATCCTTTTCAAGGGTGTTCAATGAGGCAAAAGATGGAAATGAAGTTGACTAACCATTTATGCTGGTGCAACATTGTTGAGGTATCTTACCTCGCTGTTACCTACCAGTAGAGCATACCAAGTTAGAATGGCAGCCAGGAGAACCAATCGGAATGGCAATAAGAGCAGACTCACCATTTGAATGTGTCTGTAGGAGTAATACCATTTGTTGTAGTCCAGATAAAGGCCCCACCACCACTGCTTTGATGTTATTGAGTTGACATGACATCAGTAAACATGCAATATTATGACTCAAGAGATTGGAATTAGTAACTCAAAACATAGCGACAACGATTTGAAGGATAAACCGTATAAACCGTATCATTGTTAGAGATCCAGTGAGAGATTCAGAATACGCTAGCACAGAGCATTGGTATGAGGAAAAGAGAGCAGCTATCTAAAGTATGATATAACATTTCCTTACTCCTGGTCTAGATGATGCCTGTTCCACTCGTTGATGTGACGAAACATGTCTCCATCGATGTGCTCCACCACAAAATATTTGTCTTTATATTTGGGGTCAGGGTACAGCAATGCTCCCCTAACAATGGACCGGATGGGGATGAATATCGATGCTGTGTGGGGACATGCTTTAACACGTGTGAGCCTGAAGGCATTGTCAAAGGAGTTGCAAGCCACATTGATGTTGGCTGTATAGGGGCAAACGGAGCAAATTGATAGGTGCTGAAGTCAGGAATATTGCATGAAAACATGAATACCAAGTGAGCAAAAGCAATCTCACTATGTGAAAGCTGAAAGAGGACAGTGTCATAACAAGGCTTGCCATGGAACGAAGGGTTGCACCATAGGTAGTCGGTAGCTTGCTGCCAGTCCATCCTTGATTCATAATTTACCTTGAGGTAAGCATGTTCCTGCAACTACATGTGTAGGTCGTTGTGAGATGGGGTAATGACTACTATGCAACATGGCAAAATGTACCTGGAATGTTTTGGCAAACAAGATATTTTTCCAAGAATTCTGGTCACGATTGAGGTAGATAGGAAGGCACTGATTGACAAACCGAGTAAACTTCTGATGGAAACCTTGGAATTCTTGCTGTGAAGCATGATCACAAATGATCGATTGAATGCTCTTTGGTGACCATGGTGAACTGAGCTTAATGTGCTCACTGAAACTCATGAGGACATCCTCATCACCCCCGCCATCAATATCATCATCATCATGATCTTGCTGTGTATGATTGGCTTCAGCATCCACCTGGTTCCTAATTAGTTTCATGGCTAAGTGGTGGTGGTCGACATGAAGGACCTATGTGACTTCAGGTCAGCAGGACTGAGTGAGATGAGAAGAGCAGAAGCTGGATGCACATGAATGGCAATGTCCTTACCATTTGAGCAGTCCTGATATGCATCTTTAAGTGAGCCGTGCATTTTCTCATTGGGCCGAGTGCTGTAGTTACGGGCTGCTCCTTTATTCCGAATGTCCCACACAACATGTTTCCAAAGATGGACCTTTGGAAAATTCCACTCCATTTTGAGGTGTTCTGCTAGCTCACCATTAGCCACACAGGAGACATATGCCTAGGTCAGAGCAGGGGATCAACAGTGAACTCAAACAGCAAGGAATTATCATGTACCTTTAGCTCACTCCTGAAAACCAACTGCTCCCTCTCTATCAATTCAAGGGTCTTGTCAGTGTGCACATCCAGCCCAATGAGACTGTCCAATTCTAAGTAGCTGCGGAGCATCCGTAGGAGCTGGTAGCCTTCACAGCTTACATCATTTGTCAGAATATTCAAAGCAGCATAGAAGGTTTGCTTGTGAGTTCGTTAGCTTATACTGGGAAGTCAAAAGAAGAATCTCACCTGCACGAGATCTCGGAGTTTGTTCCCATCAGCATAGCTTACATGTAGGATGCCATTGAAGTGTGCCAAACCTCGCCAACTTGGAAATGCTGCAAGCCTGCATTCAATTTAGGATTAGGATGTCTTAGCGAAGTAAATAGAGGGTAGTACATACTACTCCTCAAGTTGCACTGCATACTTACGTGGTAATTTGCTTAAAAGAATCTTGAGTTCTTCAAGTAAGTGGTGCCCAAAAAGACTGTCATGCAGAGCATGGAGGCAGTCGAAGCTCACAGCTTCCTCCAGCTCCGAGTTCTCAACCTTCCAGAAAACATTCTTGTGATTTGGTTACGTGGTTGGCAAGAGTCACTAATAAATACAAAACTCACCACAACCAGCTGAGGCCCAAGGGCTTTGAGGATCAGTTCACCAGCTGACTTCTTTTCCTGATAGATGGCAAGGGCTTCTTTTGCCTGTCTTATGGTATGCGTTGGAAATGATTTGGCAAGCTGGGATAAATCCTCAAGGGGAACCAAACAAACTGAGCATGGATGTTTACTCTTCATGCCTCAAATTAGGCTCATCATGCATCTAATGTCAACATAGTTATTAGTATGTCAATGGGCACTTGTAGTGCCCTCGACTTACTGTTCTTCATAATCAGCAGATAAGATGAGAATCAAGGGAAAGAGCCACTGAGTGATCTTGTCATAGCACTCATATTTGTATCCTAGCTGTGAGAGTTTGGCGAGTCTATCAATGATACAAAGGAATGCTTCATGCCAAATAATGCATTTGTAATTGATGTAGCTGGTCTTCCCCTCTTCTTTGGCAGACTCAGTATCACACACCAAAGGTGTTTGGTGAGGTGGACATGGATGTAGCTGATGAATGGAGGTGAAGACCATAGCCCTCATGCGAAGAAGGACAGCCAGCAATGTTGGCAGTCATCCCTCACACAAGAACAAGTTGTCAATGCCAAAGAAAAAGGAGGAGGCAAGTTAAGTGCCAATAAAATTCTTAAGCGCCCATGTACGGCATTCCGGTTTTCAATGTATCTCCACCAATTCTGCAGACACCGAAACCATTCCCACACTCACTTGTAGTGCTCAGCCACGCGATCCTACCTTCCAAGATTGGAAAGGATTTGCGCACTCCACACATTTCTACAGCACTCCCTCCAAAAGACACTCATTTTGCTAATTCTTCTGATATGGCTGCCTCTACATCAGTCATTTTGCTTGTCCTCTTTGCTAGGGACCATGGCTACATATATCTACCAGGAGTTCCTACCAGCTTCCATCCTGAAGCATCCTGGTACATCCCACCCTCATCTGCCCCCTCTCAGCCCATCCAGCTTGGACAGTGTGTTCTTTTTGTCAGTATGACCTCCAGGAGGACATTCTTTGGTCGCCTCAGGTCTGTTACTTGCTTGGAAAGGTCTTATGTGGTTGTTTCAGTCTCTCCAGTCCAAGAAGCATATGGATCCTTCCTCCCTGCCCCCTGCAATGTCTTCATACCAGTCTCGTCCATCATTCTTCCAAAATTGCGACAGCTACAGTATAATCTACTGTTCTCCACTCTCCCTGATCACATCCATGACGAGTATGATGCACATCTTGCCTCCTTGTTGCAAGATACAGCAGAAGATGCTCCCCCTTCATCCTCTCTTCCAACAGAGCCTCATCCATGAAGTTTTTATTTGCTTCACTGAGAGGATGGTTTGGGGGGGAAAGTTGCGATCCCCTATGCTCCTGTCACCCCACAGACCCCCAAAGCTTGACCCCTGTTGACATCTGACTCACCCTGTCCACTTTTGGATGTACTGTATCGGCATCAGATCAGCACTGCCTCTCTGTCATCCCACTTTGGCCTAGAAGTGATCTCTTCGAGATGTGACATGCACAGCCTCCCCCTAATGTGATTCCAGTGCACTTTCCCAGTTCCTGATGTTGCTTGACTCATACTGTGACATTCTGACTGTCTTTGACTCACCTATTGCCAATACTTGCCAATCTTTTGAAAAAGAAAAAAAAGAAGACATCAGAGAGCCCCTCTTGCTCGCAATTTATCATCTCTTAGTAAATCATTCATCAGCTTTGATAGTTGAGACTTTATTATGGGTCTAGCTATCATCTACTTTGCTTATCATCATCTATCATCCATATACTTTGCTCCAAGCCCTCCCTGAGCTCAGTACAGCTTAGGACATCGAATTAAGTCACCATCCATCCTTCTGTAGGCTGACAGCAGTCTACCCTATCGCTTTCTATCACATTCTTGCTCCCTCTTCATCAGGAGCACCCCCAACCCTCAGCACTCATCTTTGAGTGTTGTAGCTCACAAAAACCCTCCCAAAGAACAGGTTCTACCATCTAGGTACCGCATAGGCACACCACCACTTGCTTTCATTGTCTTTTGTGTTGGTTTTGGTTGGTTTTCACCACTGAACCTCACTTTGACTCACATCTGGAGCCCACCACAAGGGGTGGTCATTCCTGGATCAAGAAAAACCTTGTTTGCGTTCACATCCTTCATATTCCTGCCTCCTAGGTCGTCATAATCACCAGAATCTATCGCTTTTCCCATCCCAACTCCTATCCTCCTTATCTCATCAAATCTTGCCTGTAAATCCACCATATATCTCGCTTCTATGTCATCTGCTACCTCTACTATTTATCCACCCATGCCTTCAGCATCTCCTCAAGCTGTTGCTGTTCCTCCTGCTCACTCTGTCCTTACTTTGCCATTGCTTGGCATGAAATCTGCTCCAGAACTCTTCCAAGGAGATCATACCCATGTTTGCACTTTCCTGGATCACTATGAGCGACTCTGTGCTTTCCATAATGTCAGTTCTGACCAGGAAATGGTCAAGTCGATCCTCCAGTACTGTAATGCTTGGGTTAGGGAGATTATTGAAGGAATGGCGCACTACTATGCTCCTAACTGGGCTAACTTGAAGGCTGATCTCCTCAAGTACTTCAATGCTGATCTGTCAGATGAAAGATTCTTTGAAAGGCATCTCAAGAGCTTGACTTTGACTCACATTGGGAACCTTGCATAATATACATGAGCAAGGATGCTGAAGCCTGCACTCAGTAACTTACAATAGGCAACCAGCCGATGACACATCCACCACCAAAGTGCTCTCCATTCCCGATGTTCATGGGCAGATTTCCACAACAAGCTATGACAGGATAACCCTTGACAGTTCCATGGGAACTTAGACGTGTTCGGTTGGCATATAGGATAAAAGCAAATGGGGCTGCATTTTCAACCTGAGGTAAACGAGACTAGAAGCAAGCACAAGTTAAACACAGTATATACAAAGTATACAGGTTATTACAACATACTTGAATGTCCCACCAGCAATCACCAGTCCATGGTTCTGAGTAGAATCTGAAGACCCGTTGGGCATCCCAGATGAAGTGAAGTGCAAGGAGGGGGTTCGATAAGAGATCAAGAGCCCACTCCCATAACAAACATGCATAAACTGGGAATGTTAAGTTCTCTCCTTTATAAGGTGCAGTCACATTGTGTCATGTAAACTAGAGTAGAAGCTTGTGGATGAATGCACAGAAGCTCACAGTGTATGAAGAGAAAGAATGTACTGGTGTCACCTGCATGGCTGCCCTGTCCCATGCATGTTGAAGGTCAACATCATTCTGCAAGGTAACATTTGCCTTTCCTTGGATGATGCATGAAATGAGGGAAAGCAGCCCATTGATCTGCAATGCATTGAGGCCTGCTTGCAACGCTATTTCAGCAAACAAGTAGTCGCCCTCCTCGATAAATGGGTGCCATGGGTGTGGATTGGGGGCCATCGTAGCAGTAGCATGCTGACCAAATTCTTCTTGCAACTGGAAAAGCGATGGGGTATTGCTGTGGGGATGGAACTCAGTCTTGAAGTCAGCAGGTGGCTGTTCAGGGGATGGCATTCGGTCACTGCCATTACTCGCCATGGAGACATTTGATTGATCTATTCATATCAAGCATGTATGTACTTAGTATGGTGCACTTGGAAACCAGGTAGTGCTGAGTTCATGCACTCACCACTTTGTGCAGCAGGATCTCCATGAGGCTCCCACACATCCTGATCAACAAAATCCATGCATCACAAGTGAGAAATGTTGGGAGCTGTACAGAAAACAGCCCTAAGTGCAGGTATATCATAGGTTGAATGAAACATACTTGGCAATCCATCGTTATCTTTATTAAGTATGTGGGCTACTTGAGAAGGGCCTGCCTGCATGATGTGTGTGTGCACTGTCGAGTATGCAGATGTGATATCCCTTATGGATGGCATCCAGGAATTCTGGCACATCTCTGTAGGTTATTGGCGAGGTTCATAAGGCCTTGGCAGATTCAAATATCGATGGATCCTCCTCTGCAATTGCGAGAGGGGTTTCCTTGTCATTCCTTTCTGCAGCTGAGGCCATCTCCTGAGCCTCCAGGATTCAGTTCTCCTATTTTTCCTTTAGCTGGTTACTCTTATGAAGAGTTCCTCCCTGCTCTTCCATTGCTGATAGTCTCAGCTCTTGCCATCTGTCCTGAGGGAGGTCAATCTCCCTCTGGGTCCAGGTGTATGTCAGCATTTGCCCACTTGATGCTCTCATTGGAGATGTCTCCTCCTTCTTCCTCATAGTAATGGGATAGGCAATCTGCCACTCAGTTCTCAGAACCTTTGGTGTATACAATGTTTGCATCAAAGCATGACATATAATCTATCCACCATACCTGTTGGCTCAACAGTTTTCACTGGGTCTTGAGGTATCCCAGTGCCTCATGGTCTGTCACTATCATGAACTTCAACCCAAGGAGTTTATCCTCCCATTTCAGCAAAGCTTTGATTATTGTGAGGGTCTCTCACTCAAAGGTCCTATAGTTTTGTTGAGCATTGCTCAGCTTTTTCAACATGAAGCCTGCTGGTCAGCAGGTCTTCCATTTGGGTCCTTGCCTGTACAGTGCACCTACTCCATAGAGTGATGCATCACAGACAAGCCATATTGGCTCTTCCCTCCTTGGGTCTATTGGCCACAGTAATGGGTACTTGCAGGCCAGGTCCTTAATCATCTGGAAGCATGGGTCATGGAGTTCCCTCCACAGGAATTCATGTCCATTCTTTTGTATCCCAGTTAATGGCATTGTGTATGCCAATATATCTGGCATAAATTGTGCTAGGTATTTGATGAGACCAATGAACTGTTGCACCTCATTGAGCGACTTAGGTACTCTCCAGTTCCTAATTTGAGACATCTTGTCTCTATCTGCATGCATGCCCTTGGTGTCAATTATGTGCCCAAGGCAGTCGAGTTTCTTGGTGTATAAGTCACACTTCTCCCTTTTGAGAAAGAAGTTGGCCTGACATAGTGTTTCAAACACTATCTGGAGGTGCTGCTCATGCTCCTCCAGTGTATCACTGTAGACAAATATATTATTGAGGTAGATGTATACAAAACATCCTATGTGATCTCTAAAGATCACAGTCATAAGGCATTGAAATGTTGCAGGGGCATTACAATCCCCCTGCTGCATGACTTGGCTTATAAAAGTGCCATAAATCATTGAGAAGGCTGTCTTCCAGCCATCTTCAGGCTCAATGTGTACCTGTTCATATGCATTCAACAAGTCAATCTTTGAGCAATACTTTGCTCTAGCAATGTCCATCCTGATCTGGTCCTGATCAGGGAAGGGAGTTGCATCCCTTATTGTGTTTTCATTTCTTTTACAACAGTTGATGACTGTTTGTAGTTTGCCATTCTTCTTTTGTATACACAGCATAGGTGCAGCTTGTGGGATGCTTTTTAGCACCCACCACTCTGCATCTGTGTACTGATGGATTTTATCCAACAACTGTTGCTTCAGTGCATCAGTGCAATGAGGCAAGTGGTACAAGTACCACTTGTCCTCATCAATCAGGGGAATCCTGTGGTTTACCTCCCATAAGGGAGGTAATTTTGGTTTGACACCTTCAAACCTTCATCTAAACCTTTTGAACCATCACTCCCTTAGGCAAGGTATATCTTTTTCCCCCAACACTCTTTTTTGTATTGGTTTATTACTGCAAGTGTAGGCTCACTTTTTGACTCTAACTGCCCTCCCCCTGGCAAGCCCTCATGAGGCTGTGACAGCCTTGCAGGGTGTGCTAGTCATTTGCTCAAGGAGGTGGTGGCTTTAGGGGGGCATGGGCGCCCCTCTCTGGCGACCTCAGGCTCTGTGAGCATGAGGACCTTTTCACCTGCAATTGTCATCAACTTTTCAGTGAAGTCAAGCACTACTTTGTGCCACCTAAGGAATGGGATTCCTAGAATACAGTCGTAGTGATTGATATTAGCCACATCGAAATAACAGTTGGTCTGTTGGCAGCCCATCTTTATCATGGAGAGTCCTCCATGTGTAATTTTCGATCAGCTACCTATGCAGCCCAATTGCAGCATAAGCTGCTGATTGAGTGGAAACACTTTCATCTTCATGACCTTGGTGAAAGCTGGGCTCACAAAGTTTCCAGTGCTTCTGGTGTTGATCATCATGTAGGCTTTACAGCCATTTATGACAGTATCTACCATTATGCACATGCACAATTCTGGTGTGATTCGCAGGTGGGTTCCCACTTCCTGCTTAGTATGCATCACATACCAAAAAGTGCATGTCAGCAGCTTTGCTATTGGTTGCAAATCCATTGCAGCCATATGTGGGTTATCATGGATGTGATGTCCCTCAATGATTATATCTCTATGTGGTGTTTCCACCACCATATCATCAGGGTATATCCTGACTTCATTGTTATATGGGTTAGGATGACTTCTGTGACATTAAATTGTATGGAGCTGATCATACAGCTCCCCAAGAATATCATTCCTGGTCTGCACAGTTGTGCACAAGCATTGGATATCACACAATGCTTGTACTCATTGTGCTTCAAGGGACCTGATGCAACTAGCCATCGCACATATTGCACACTGAGTGCGATTGATATTCAGGCCATGCCCCTCCACCATTTGGGCCAGTCACAGTCTTCCCAGCCCCTATTGTACTTGCAGAATGCAAGTTGTGTAGGGAACTGCAGTGTGATGGTGAGCAAGGTATTCTCCTCAGCTACAGCCTTGTCAATGTGTTCCCTGTGTTGTTGGCATTCAGGGCAATGCTTGGAGTGAGTCAATCCATAAATTGGTGACCAAGTCCAGGTCCCACCTGTGACTTCAGGTCATTCTGCTTGATGAGGGTCTAGATCCATCTCATCCTCATTTATTCTGAGTGATGCACTTCTTACTATATTGTCCTCTTCTCAGGAGGTAGGCAGGTGCTCTACCATCCTGTCTCTATTTATCCACACCATTCCCCATGGTGTTTCAATTACCACTGCATCTGGATATATTCAGACATTAGGGGTCATGACACTCTGCAGCTGTAATCCATCATGGGCTGGGCTCAGTAATATATGTCCATGGTAAGCTTTTCAGTGACTGGAAGTGCCTCATGGCACTCAGTGGAAGGTATATTTCAATGAGTACATACAAAAAGTGGTATTTGGTGTGTCCTGAGACAGTTGTCTTCTGACTTCTAACATGATCAACCTGTTGTCTCATGTACTCTCATATGGTGATTATTTGAGAACTGCTGTCAAGTATGCATCTCCTCTACAATGACCTTGACCACATTGCAAACCTCCAGCTTCATGAGAGGCATTGATGCCATTCCTAAATATTCAATGGTCTCCCAAATCCTCTGTTCAGACTTCACTGCCTTTCACATTATGCTTTCATCCACTTAGTATTATGGTATGTGTTTAGCCATATTACATAATCACATTTGTTTTCACACTTGAGTAGCATAGTCACACCTCAGTTGGCTGCTTAACCCAACTGAGGTGAGCACTTTCCACATCCTGTCTTTACACTCAGCTAATAGTCCTGTAGTATATATTCTACAGGTTATGAGCCCTAGTGCTCACTAACTGGGAACTTGTAGCAACATGTTGTTCACATCCAAGCTTGGAGATGATTTCCTTAAGGTCCAAAAGCTCTCAGCAGATGGAGAGAACTGGGTAACATACAAGGACAGGCTAATGTGGTCTTTGGATGCTCATGGGCTGCTTGGGTACATAGATGGTACTGAGACAATGCCAGTCAACCCCAAGACACTAGCAAACTAGAGTGAGAGCTGGATACCTATCTCCACAGAGGAGAAAAAGGAAGTGACAAACTACCAATCTACTCTAAAAGAATGGAGGCTCAGCCAAGCCATTGTCAAGCAACAAATCACTGGCATGATCCCTGACACACTGTTCATCCAAATAAAGAGTCTCACTACTGCACTTGACATCTGGACATACCTATCCAACCTCTTTGAGAAGCGCTCTCATGTTGTATTGGTCAAACTGCTGAAGAAGCTCCAAACTATAAAATGCACAGAGAAAGGAAATGTCAGGGAACACTTTGACAAAATGCAGCAACTGAACAGACAACTTGCCTCAATGGGCCAAGCCCCAACAGACAAATGCTACATGGCTATGGTCATGACATCCCTCCCAAGCTCTTATGACTTTGTTGTCAGAGCAATGTCTGCACTTGCAAAAGTTTCCACCTCCACTACCCTAACAACTGCAACTCTCATGGATGCAGTACAAGATGAGTATGACCACTGTGCCACAAAGCAGAAGAAGTCTAGTGATGCAGACAATGTGGCATACTCAGCTGGAGGAAAGCAGAAGAAGTTTGCTGGAACTTGCTACAAATGTGGAAAATGTGGGCACTGAGCTTGCAAATGCAGGTCAAGTGGGGATGACTCACAAAGTGGAGGGAAGTCTCCAAACAAAGGGAAGCAAAAAGAGTGCACAGCAGTGGCCAAGGACAACAGTGGCAATGACCCAGATGGGGTATGGCTCACACATATCAATGACAGCTATGAAGCTGAGGTCGATGAAGCTCAACCATCCCCAGAGACATTCACTACTAGTGTGTACACAAGACCACCAAGCTACACTACTCTATACGACTCTGGAGCCTCTCATCACATGTTGTCATACAAAGAAAACTTTGTCAACTATAAGCCCAATACTCCTAAACCCATTACTGCAGCAGACAAATGAACCTTTGAAGCCATTGGAAAAGG